TTTAAAGAAACATAGTTCTGTTATTTCATTTTACCTTAGTTGGAAGCAAAATTTCTAAAAATTAAACAACTAAACCATTTTAATTCCCGCCGGGAAAGTGGGTTTTAAGGCACGCACAATTACATTATCCCTTTGAAGACGAAGTTTACGAAATGTGTACATAATGAAATATACGTCCTTTTATTTTTACAAACATGAAGATGAACATTATAATTTATTATATCATATAATATATGGTATTGATTCAAATCTGAGTGGATATCATATTTACAAACTAATTTTTTATATTTGATCGTGTAGAACACACTTAAGTATGTTTATATTCACAATTTAACATTAAAATTATCGGTTATTGCCTTAGTATTACCTGTGTAAAATGTAATAAGTTCATTATAACGATATTGAGAAGTGTTTCCCGTAATATGAATTGATTTTTATGAACATATTGTGTATAATCTATATAAAATCGCTGACGGAGATAACGACAAAATAAGTATTCTTTTGTTTGCAGACGTTGTTGTTGTTAACTTAGCCGAACATGCTGATAATTAACAGTTTATTTTAGAAACATTTTCAAAAATTGGTTTTCTCCAATAATAATGTGAAAATGTAAAAAATTTGAAATAAAAACACCCTTTTGAATAAAATAGTTTCAAACGATCTGACAATTTTTTAAAAATTTTAAAAAATCAAATGTATTTGAAATTCCAATTTTTAAATTCTTGGTATTGTTTAAAAAAGAAATTTTTAAAATTTTTAGGAAATTTTCAAAGAAAAATTGCTATGTCACTTCAAAGGGGCCCTTTTTTGACAAACTCAAAAAATAAAATTTTGGGGGTTCAAAAAATCAACATTTAAAAAAATTCTATGAAATTCCCTTGGTGTTTTCCCATTAAATTTAACTACAAACCCCCTAAATTTGGGGGGATAGGAAATTTTTTATTAAAAATGCTGGTTTTAATATAACTTTTTTTTTTTGGCGGGGGGGGTGGAAAAGGGACACTCCCAATCGCAATTAAAATTGGGAAAATTTGGGGTGGAAACCCCAAAAAATTTGAAACATAGGGTTTATCTTTTTAAAAGTTTTAAAATGTTTTAATATCAAAAAATTTCAGGAAAAAAACAACCCAAACATTTTTATATGGGCAAGGAAAAGTTTAAAGTTCAGAAAATTTTTAAATAAAATTTTAAAATTTGGGGAAAAAGCTGAATTTTGAAAAACTTATGAATGAACAAAATTGGGAAGCAAAAACCCGCAAAATCTTGAAATTTAAATCCAAATTTTTTTTGAAATTTTGAAAAATAAAAAAAGGAAAGACATTTTGTTTTGGGGTCAATCTTTTAATGAAAAAGTGGTAACAAACCCCAGAAATATAATTTTTAAAGTCCCGTTTTTAAAAAATAAAAACCTTTTAAAAAAACCCCCCTTTTAAAATAGGGGCTGCAAAATTTCTACAATTAAAAATCTGGGGTACTCCTCTTAATTAGGATGGGAAAAAATAAAAATTTTCTATTAGATAAAAAAGCTGTTTTAACTTTCGAAGGTGTTTTTTGGGATAAAAAAGACGCCTCTTGTAAATTTCCCTTTTTTATATGGTTTAGGGGGTTTTTTCTTCTTAGCTTAAAAAAGGAAAATCAGATATAAAAATATCAAAACAATGATAAAACTATTTTGACTCTTTTGGGAAAAGGGAAAAATTAAAATAATTTTTTGGGCCCCAAAACCCGCCCTAAAAATTTTAAAGAAAAAATTTTTTTTTTCTAGGGCAAAAGCCGCTAACATTTTTTTCTAAATTTTATTTTCTTTTAAAAAATGTTTTTTTAGGTATATTTCGTATTTTTATAAATTTAGTGTGCAAAATTTAAAATTTTAAAAAATAATTGGGATTGCCCTAAGGGAAATAAAAAATTTTAGTCAATCTTAATTTTTTGAATTTTTGCTAACTAATACATAGACAGTTTTTAGGTTTTAGATGTTACAATGTAACATGTGGTTTCTATAAATCAATAATTTAAATATATACTCTTTACAAATCAAATTAATTTGATTGGTCACTTATATGTAAAATTGTAGATTAGATGTGTAAAAATGTTTGTGTATATATTATGTGAGTGAGACTGAAAATGTAATATTCTTAATCTTAATCTTGTCCCTTGTAATTTAAGTCTCCGTACTCCCGGTTTTCAATATATTAGGCCTTAAAAATTGTATTAGAATAAATAACCAAATTTGAAACTTTAATGAATAAAACATTAGAAATTCATACAATAAAATCATAAATTTCATATCGATTCATATAAATAGATGTGAAAATTATGAATTTGATTAGATGGAAAATTTCAAATTTTATTCAATAAATAACATGAAATCATAATATTTCACATCTATTATGAAATTTAAAATTTTGAAAAATTATATTTTGATTTTGGGTATTAACCCTTTTAATTTTAAACGAATTTTTGAAAATATTTTGCAATAAAATCGGCGGGGTTGGGCAATAGGGCCCCTCCTAAAACACCCCAAAACAAAAAAAAATTTTCTTTCCCGGGGAAAATAAAATTTATTTGGGTTGCAAAATAAAAACCCGACCCGGCGAAATTTTCCCTAAAAGAATGGGTTTAAAACGACTTGGAAAAATTTTAAAACATAAAAAATCCAGGGCAAAAAATTTCGTAACATAACTCCACACTTGGATTTTATAGTGTGGGCAAAACCCCACATCTTTAATTTTATAGAGTGGACATAACCCCAAACTTTCTAATTTTTGTTACCATAACATTCATAAGACTTTGATCATGCAAGTTATTGTAAGAAAAGATTAACTACAGTTTGATATAGTTACATTTAGATTATTTATCTTTACATAGGCTTTGATCATGATTATTAATTGTATCTTATATTTTATTTTATTTCAATATACAATACAATGTGATTGAATAATTAAAGACTATACAAACATTACAAACTGTTAAGTAAAACTCAAAGGGTAAATATTCAAATATTACAAACTGTTAAATTAAAATTAAAGGGTAAACGTATATTTATTCATAATTAACAATAATTAAGTGTCAACAATGCAAGCTATTTTCAATCAAAGGTCTGTACAAATAAGAAATAAAATGGCGGGTTTATTTCCACTCCATAAAATTAAAGAGGTGGGGTTTTGTCCACTCTTTAAATCCATGCATGGGGTTTTTTCCCCCTTAATAAAATTTTTTAGGGAGGGGGTTTTTTCCGTTTAACCCCTTTTTTTGAACTCTATGAAAAGCCCAAAAAAAATTTAAAGGGGTATCTTAAAAAAACCATTGTTTTTGAATTTTTGGGGAAAAAAATTTCCCGCTTTTTCCAATTTTAAAAATTTCCCATTAAAAAAAAAATGCTAAAATTTTTCATTTTGACACCCTGTCTTAAAATTTAAAACTTTTTTCAACATTTTTATATTTTGCTTTACTTTTAAAAAATAGTTCCAGGGACCCATTTTGGTTAAAAAAATTCGTCCCAAATTTTTTTAAAACCAATTAAAGTGAAAAATATTCAAATATTTTTTAAAATTGTTGGGGAAAAAACTTCTTCACGATTACTTTCTATTGGAAAGGGTTTTCAAGAAAAAGAAACCCCGAAAAAATTTTTGTGTAAAATGGGATTGAACATAAAATTTCAATACTAAGTAAACAGCAACTTACATAATAACAACGGCCGATATTTTGTTTTTAGTTTGGCAAAATATCTTATTAGCCTCTTTTTAGATTGAATAACAAGGAAGTTTAGAATAGATGTTTAAACCAATTTTAATTTACAATTTGTGAATAGTACATGGAAAGTTACCCACATATCGACGATGAAGACGAACGTTCACTATATAATCTTATTTTTGGTGATATTGTTACGCTGTGAGTAGTATTAAAACTTTTTTTTTAATTTGAAATTATGATTTACTAAATGATGTTTAAATTTTCAAAAATAAACTATTCATTTTATTACATAATTCATTGTTATGTACTGAAATGTAGCTCTCTATGATGATTGACTGTATACTGTAATGTCAAATATAATTTTACTGCAGTGGCACTAGTCACATTTGATTGAGGGGGGTGGAAGCATAAAAACAATTATCTAACGTATTTAAGGATACATGCATAAGAAGTTAACAACTTGTTACTAAAAGGGATTGGACATAGACATTGTAACATCGTATTTCAAGTAATAAATATAAATATATTGAACATAGATACACACATGTGGTTGTTATATGTATTACTTGTATCTATTTTACTCATATTATTGGTTATGTTGGACACAATTTGATTTTGATATCCGTTTTAGGCGACTGCGCAGTAGGAGCTTGTGAAACTGGCTCTTGGGGAGATAACTGCGAGAAAAAATGCGCGACAAACTGTGCCGGGCCATGTGATAAATTAAATGGTATCTGCACACGTTGTCGGTCAGGATTTTGGGGTAGTTATTGTAACAACACTTGCAGTGTTTATTGCAACACCGGGGTTGCGATCCAAGGTGGACGGAAAATGTTTTCTTGTAAGATCAAGAAATGTGGGGTGCCTTAAAAGGGAAAAATTTTTTTGCCAAAGTTAAAGCATTAAATTGTGATAGAAAAGGAGGGGTTTTTCAATTTTCAAATTTTTGGATTATGGGGGGAATTTGCAAATAAAAAACTTTTTTCAAAAGTTGTAAATGCGTTGAAAAAATGATGGAAATTTCTTTCTTGTACAGGGAAAACGTGGGGTCCCTTTTTGCAAAAATACTTGCTATTTCCCCCTGGGTTTTTGAGTTGCCTAGAAACCCTGGAAAATTGTATGATTGTATAAATTTGGGCGATGGGGTCATTTTGTAATTATAAAATGTGTAATCTTGCTCTAAAAAATGCTCTAAAATTTCTGGATATTGCAACCGTGTTAATAAAGGATATTGGGGGAATTTCCTTTTGCAAAAAAAACATTCCGTTTAAAAATTTCCAAGGTTTTTTTAAAAAAATAAGAATGGTTCCTGTGCAAGTTGTAAAAATGGTTACTGGGGTGTGTCATGTGAAAATAAATGTGTTGGGAGTTGTTCGTCAAACGCGTGCGAAAACTTTTCGGGAAAATGCACGAGTTGTCTGATAGGCACATGGGGAAGCTACTGTGAAAACGTGTGCAAGAAATCATGCTCCTGGAGGTGTGATATACATACAGGCGAATGCGTCTGTAAAGCTGGATACTGGGGTACAGATTGCTCGACCATGTGCAATGATTTAAATTGTGATGTATGTTCACAAACAGATGGATCGTGTACAAGTTGCAAGCCTGGCTTTTGGGGCGCTAGCTGCGACTACAAATGCAAGTCAGATACATGCCTTCAATGCTATATCAATAGTGGACTATGCAGTGTTTGTCCACTTGGACGATGGGGAACACTTTGTCAGAACATGTGCAGGCATGGATGTCAATGTTGCAGCATCTCTTCTGGAGCATGCTTATTTAGTTGTCCGGATGCAGTTGGTGAGTATATTATCAACTCACAAAATATGTACTAAATTTACTTTCGTTATTGTTGTTGCTATTGCTTAAGGTTTAGTTTGATATTTTCCAGTTTGCGATTAATGTGCATTTCTTTTTAATCTATTACATGAATTAATTGTTTGTATGAAAATATTCATAATATTGGTTAGAACTTACCCAAAATAAAATATTTATATTCATAAATTTGTGTTTCATTATACTTAAGACGCTGTTGGCAATGAATTGACAGTCAGTGAGGAGCCGGCACAAGGAATAGGTTACATAACAGTTATCATCTCTGTGGTTACTAGTTTGGTTGTTGTTGTTACAGGGGTTGGAACATTTATCTTCATTAGATCTAGATTCAGGTAAGTTATATTGAAAAGTTAAATGAAAGTCATTAATACTCAATGATTATATATTACCTGGCTTGATACTACTAAATACTTTGATATAGTATTTTGACATCGAAAGCACAATCAGGTTTCTGCTCGTTCAAGGTTTTGTTGAAGGTCTTTATGCACCCTTAATAATAATTTATTATTTAGACTTTTATAATGGCATCTAGTACTATTTGCTTCAATATAAGAATCATATATTATACATTGACCATAACATACAGCATGTTTCTGTCTTTTTTTTTCAGACAAACAAAACGCAAGGAAAGTGCGAACATGCAAGGTATTTTTTCTTGATAGCTATTGAATTTATATTTTATGATCATGTTTACAAGTTTCATGATTTTTTACTGACCTATATTCTCTTTAGCTTTTATGCCCTGTAGTATACTTTTTAAGGATAGACACCCCATGCAAAGAAAATCTGACCTCTCTTATTTGATTATTATTCTATAATACTATTAAACATTAAGGTTTGGTAGTTCTTACATGATTACTTGAAACTAAAACATTACTTCTTTGTGGATCATAGATGTTCTTTTATTTCTGTTGTAGTCGGCGTTCGTGAAAAGTTAAACGATGCTTTAACAAACAGCTTTGCAAACTTCAATGATTGCTTTGGTTGATGTCTCTATCACTTTGTTTTTCATAAATTAGAAATATTGATTCAAATCAGGCGAAATTGAATGATAGTTTGAATGGCTAGATAGCACCGGTATTATAAGTAAACAATATTGTTGCGCTTAGTTTCAAAACCTTTATATTTTGATTTACTGCTTTCTTTTTTTTGCAGGTTCTTCATCAGAAATGTCTGGAACACCGACTACACAAACATCTCAAAGTACAAGAAATGAGATGTACATCGATGTTGCAGAGCCTGTCGACACATCAGATGATCATACTTACGAGAAAATTAGAAAATAAAGAATGTGATGGATATTCATCTAGGAAAAACAATTTTACTGCACAAAGTACCACTGGATGTCCTATAAAGTTGTAGTTGCAGAAGAACTGTTTATATTGTCACACATCAATCTCGTGAACAATATATGCATGATGATTGTATGTAAATAATGAAACTTTCTTTGAAACTTTTCTTTCTCTTGGAAAAAAAAACATATGAAGCATTTCAGCAATGGCATTCATGATATCACATGCATATCATTTTATGCCCCATTCAAGATGACGTGGATAAAGTGTTTGAATAAACACGCCTTTGTTCGTAAAGTGAGTGTTAAAAATATTATGATCTAAACTTCCTCAAACCTTAAATTAGGCGGGACAATTAATCGTTATCGTATATGATGTTGATAGCGAATAAAGAAGCTCGCGAAATCTATACTAACATTTAATATATTCTTAACAAAGTGTTTTTGTTAAGGTATGTACATGAATACTTTGTAAATGCATTTACATTTAAATGTCTACTTTATGTAATGTGAAAACCTTACTTACCGTTTTAAAAGGAAGTCATATGAATTGTATCAACATAATATTTTTTGAAAATATGATATTATACTTAAACTTATGATGTACTTTATTTGTACTTGAATTAATCATAGTTTAATTTTGATGTAGATATGTAGTTATCTATAAAGTAGAGTAAAGTTAAACATTAAAATAAATGCGTTTGGTCTACTGTTCACTATATCATACATCATGTCATCCTCGTCGGGTGTAGTGTACAATTAATGATAAAATACTGAACGTTTGTAACGTCGCTTTTCATTGAATTATCGTGTCGTTTATTAAGTTTTATATTCAGGGCTGCTGTCAACTTTTAAACAACTCTTTTTTTCTTTCTCATAAATGAAGTTTGCTCTATTACAAATTCGTTTTAAAGATTCCTTACAGGTTATATGGCCGTATACAAACGGTCGTTTACAATATAAGCCTCGCCTAGAAATATTGAAGGTACTTTTTGAATGATCACAATAAATTTGTTTTTGAACCATATTTTTAGTATAGTGTTATCAAAGCAATCTAAATTTACAACATACGTACTTCAATCAATCTATATTTCAAGTTTCATAAAAGTATTTTCTCTACTTTTGAATTATCACGGGATCCAGAAGAAGAAGACGGACTGACGGACGGACGTCCGTTCTAACGAGACAATATTTATGTGGTTACGAGATCTACGTTGTTCTCTCTAATGTTCTCTTTGGCTACATAATAGAAATAAGTCAATTAAGGCCTACAGAATGGATGACATCAAAGAAAAATTACAGTTACCTTTTGTTCTTGTAGCCGCATTAATATTCTTGTAAGTGTGGACGGACAGACGGATGGACATATAAGCGAACAGAGACAGAGGGTAAACCTCAATTTCCAATTAATAATGGGAGAAGTTAAATGTTTAATGCAAATTTATAAAAAAAACTGACTTTTGTTACAGGACGGTCATTCTGTCAAAGACAGTATTATTCACAAACAGTTTAAGCAGGATACACCCATTATGGTGTATGTAAAGTTTGATTATAACTGTTTGAAATTTTTTTAATAAATAGTAAAAAAAAAAGCAATTTGACAAATGAAAAGTAAGTTGTATTTCTTTTCACAACATGATAAATTTTTAATTACGAAATTGTAATTGCAAATTATATTGTTATTTTTAGAATACATTATCGTCAAATATAATTTTACGGAAGTCAAACAATATAATATATAAAATATAGAAACAGAATGGTGAATATCTTCTTGGCAAAAAATAATTGTAACAAATTGATTTATTTTGAATACTTGTTTTGAAGTACCCTAACAATTGCCAAGACATTAACATTATTAATTGATGTGTTTCTCCTGTCTATGATATTTTTACTGTGTTTGATTATTTGCTTATTGTTTATATTCATATTGTACATTTTTGAAATAAAATATTGTGTAAACAAAGATTTACAGACTTTCATATTAGCCCTGAACTGAAACTGTTAACGCGCCCAATATTGAATCTTTGATTATGAAAACCTTATAAATAACCAAATAACTTGTCATTATAGATTAACCATGTAAATTATCCTCCTACCAAATATGAAAATAAAGGCTGTTGGACCAAAAGTGTAAAAATCTATTTTTAGCACTGGTGACCTTGAGCCGACTGACCTCTAACTTGAGCAAAAGTGTAAAAATCTAAGGAGAAGATGTCAATTTTATGTTCCTACAAACTATAAAAATCATGTGACCATAGAGTAAGGAAAAAGTACCTGCAAAAGTTTAAAACTTTATTTTTGACTTAGGTGACCTTGACCCTAATGAATCTTAACTAAACCCTAATGAGGACGGCTTGCAATAAACAGAAAGACATCAACTTAAAATTGAAGGCTGTACGAGCAAAAATGTTTAAATTTATTTTTTTACACCAAAGACCTTGACCTTGACCCTAGAGATCCTGATATATTAGAGAACCATTTAAGATACCTAACTAAAACATGAGAGATAACTTACCGGATTAGGTTAATCATACAAGGCCCTAAAGAGATAAAAAAGGAAATAACTTGGAAAAATGGATGGCACAGTTTTATAATTTGGCAATATCGCGTATTTTGTATTATTTAGTAAGTGTGGAAATTATGAAGCCGTTATATCTTAGATAGAACTTAAGATATATTGAACTTGCCGTTTAAGGGTAATCATTATTTATTTCAAAGTGCTGGAAAGGGCAATAACTAGGAAAAAATGGAAGCCACTAGTACAAGAAAAGCGGCGTTTGGTCCCTAAGTAAAATGATAAGTGTGTCCGAAACGAGAAAGCAATGGGCGGAACTAAATAAAATGGAATTTTGAAAGGGGATCCGAGGTTATGAAGCCTGCATTTTAAAGATAAGCCGTCAATTTTTTTAAAAGCAAGCCACATGCCCTAAGGGTGATTTAACAGTATTCAAGTGAGGATTACTTGAACAATCAAACCAGAAAACTGCCAAATAGAAAGAACTAAATATACATAAACACAACAAAAGTGTCGTGCTGAACGATCTTAAAGGATCGGTAACACAACGTCCATGATTGAATGTACGGAGCGACATTTTATGGTCTTCACACGGCACAAACAACGTTGATATGGCGATAAAATATATAGAAATAAAGAATTCCTTAAGACTTTCATAACCAAGACTTTCGTTTAAAACAGAGTTAGTGAAGTAAGAGAAAACTCTTTCCCTTAAAAAACAGTCGCTAAAAGTTCACCGGTGAATGTGTGTGTCTGCGCGTTAACCGTATGCTTGAAAGTAGATTCGAATTACCATTTCTTCGCTTTCTAAATTTTCTAATTTGAGGTTTAAATATATTCATTGTAATTAGTTTAATAAAGATATTTTCAATAAGATGAGTAGTAATACTTGTAATGATGGACACTCGAATTCGATGGTTAGATAAAGGAACGAACAATGAAGGGAAAATAGGTAGTAAGTCTAATATTACCTCTATTTCATGCGGAACTTCCTATGAGCAAGAAAAAGGTCAACATTTATCAATATTGTTTTAGGGCCAAAAAGAATGAAAATACTCGTACCAGTAGCAAAGTGTTAGTACAAGAAGTTCATTTTGTCATGGAAGTCTGTTACTAATACAACTTTATAAGATAGAGAAAAACATATTCTCTTAAGAATGCCCAACACGCCGAATTGAAAATGTTGCAGGCTCGATTTGAGTGAGCCTGTTCATTGACGGTTGTTGTAATTTCAAGCTACGGTCCACGTCCCCTATCACAGGCTTAAGCAGAATTTAACATCTTAACAATAATAGAAGATGATGCATCTTGGCATCCTTACCACAAACTAATTTGCTTGTTTCCTAGCACGATGCACAATACCGTTGGATGAAACTTTATAGTTCTGGTGTGCAAGTGAAAGTCCTTAGAGTTTAAAGTAAAATACTCGTCTTGGGTTAGACATTTTTGTTCTTTTGCTCATGCTTTCGAATATGTAATAGGTCCATGATTAGGCGAGATAATGTTACCAGTTTTGGTTTCATTGTTACTAGAAAACATATTGTTCCTAGAAGATAATATAAAAATTGAATTACTCTAGTAAGTAGTTATGACATGGCTATTTTCGAAAACACACCAGACGAATTTCAACACTATCTTGATCTTTTGCGTGCATATTGCATATTGATGTCAACGGGGAATTCAAAGTTAATGCACATTTACAAAACACGTGGCTTTTAGAAAGATGGGAAGTTTGAAGCAAAAAGAACAATGGACTTATTATGGAATAGATGTAGAAAATGTAGAAAGTTATAATTATATAGGAAGTTTGATTTCTTTTAAAGGTAACTTTGCTTGTATAATGAATACTTATCTGAAAAAAGCACTTAAAACGTTGAATTTTACTTGTATAATTGTGAAATAAATCCATTAAGTGCTTTGTCAGTAACGGGGGACGGTCAGAAAATATCCGGACTTTTCATGCTCTTCTCTTTCCACGTGCACACAATATATATTGGTGAAAACTACATTCATTCGCCAATAACGTGGTCAGTTTATTTTTAATACACAGTCTTTTGCCCTCTAATATATGATAGGTGTTTCGTCTATCATGGACTCTTTGTTAGAGGAACAACGCTCTGTAATAAAGTTTCTGGTTGCAGAAGGTGAAAATCCCTGCCACATCTTTCAGAGGCTTAAAAAAAGATTTTCTGATACATGTGTATCACGTTCAACCTTCTACAACTGTGTTTCTCAGTTTCGTGAAGGCAGAACAAGCGTTTGTGACAGGCCTAGGACTGGGCGGCCAGCTGAGGCGGTGACCCCAACAAGGGTAGCAAATGTTAAAGCTTTTGTCAACAAAAATCGTCGAGTAACTTTGGAGGAGGTAGCCAACAAGTTTAGCATCGTTAAGGCATCGGCACACAAGATTTTACACGAACACCTAGGCATGAACAAGGTAAGTGCCAGATGGGTGCCAAGACAGCTGTCCGCAAATCAAAAGGCAACCAGCGTAACCAATGCAAAAGAACATTTAAGTCGTTTTAATCGTGAAGGAGATAAGTTTTGGAACCGCATTATCACTGGAGATGAGATGTGGGTTCATTATTCCGAACATGAGACAAAGCTCAGTCAAAGCAGTTGAAACGAGCTGGTTCCCCACCTCCTAAAAGGTTTAAGCTGTCTCCTTCGGCTGTCAGAGTCATGCTTGTTGCCTTTTGGGATTCACGAGGAATGATACTTACTCATTTCATGCCAAAAGGACAAACTGTCACTGCCAAGTACTATTCTGAAGTAATTCTGAAAAATCTCAGAGAAAAGCTGAAGCAAATGCGTCCTAGGCTAGTACAGAGAAATGTCTACCTTCTTCACGATAACGCCCCCTCCCATACCGCCGCAGCTACAGTGGAGGTTATCAACTCTTACAAATGGCAATTGTTGTCTCACACTCCTTATAGCCCAGACCTCGCCCCCTGTGACTTTTATTTGTTTCCAGAACTGAAAAAAATTGCTTGCTGGAAAGAAACATAAGACCAGGGCAGTTTTGATATCTGCTGTTACACAGTACCTAAACATAGGTCTACGTCATGGTTCATAAAGAAGATCTTAGGAGGTGAATTGGATCATGTACCAGAAGTTGCTTTCTACATGGTAGGAAATATTGAAGAAGTCTTACAGAAAGCCGACAGACTTGCTGACGAGAAGAAGTGATCATAAGACAT